TCGATAAGGCTATTCAAGATCGGATGTTAGCCGAGGAAATATTTGATGAAGAAGCCTTTAGAAATGAATGCGAGCAGTGTGACGTTTATCGAAAAAAATGGCTAACAGTTAAGATGAAATTAACGGATTTGGGTTGTAGAAATGAGATTATTAGAGATGGCAACAAAGAACATAATCTCAATTTACCCAAATTAGAGATGCGGAAATTTGATGACAACCCGAAGAAATGGTTATCGCTTTGGAGTCAATATAAAACAATACACGAGGATCAAACAATTGATGCTGAAACTAAGTTTCAATATCTGACGCTAGCAATGACCCATGAGAGCAAAGCAAGGTGCCTCGTTGATAGTTACCCACCGACCGAGGAAAACTATGCAAAAGTGATACACATTTTAAAGGAGCGTTATGTTGAAACCAGAGAGCACTTTATTGCTGTGGAATAAGGTGCCGTGTACACAGGGGGGTGCAAAGCTTAGTGATTTGTTAAAGTTCTTACAAACAGAAGTAGAAGCTGAGCGACGTGCAGATCTAACAAGAAATTACAACATAGATGACTCACCAATTAACGAAGCTATCCCAACAGCAGCGTGCCTATTGCCAAAAGCGCAGGTGCCGATTAATGTAAAGGTGAATCAACAAGTAAAAGAGAGTTGTGAGTCGAAGACCGAAGTTTTAAATAACTATTCTAGCATTAATACTACAACCCTGCTTCAAAAGTTCATTGCTAAAGTTCCAGTAGATAATCAAGAGAGAAAAGTGAGAGTACTGCTTGACTCCGGTTCACAGAGATCTTACATAAGAGCTGACGCAGCTAAAGAACTCGGATTACAGGTAACAGTAAGTGAATGCCTTACACATTCGTTATTTGGAGGAATTCATGAGGCGGCACAGATACATCAAGTTTATGAATTTCAAAAAAGCATTAAACTTGTAACTATCAAAACAAAACTCGAATGGGTGCTACAAGCACGGATTCAATCTTCTACTCTAAGTGACAACGAAGTTAAACCTGGTGTAAATTCCCTAGAGTATATGTGGAATATTGAAACGTTAGGTATTAAGGATCCGTATATAGAAAGAACTATTAAACAACATTCAAGGAAGTTTCAATGGCACCGAGTCACAATCGCAGAAAATGACAGGTAATAGTATACCTCGTCCCTTACCCCACACGTTCTGGACGAACAGTCAAATTGACGTCTCGTTTCATGGACTAAATGTGTACCGTATAACTATTAATATGCATAAAGATACTCATGTTAATTGATTTTACTATGTTAGTTTTTAAAGATTGTTTGTTTTTTCTTTATGTTAAAAATAATTATTTTCGTTGAAGTGATAATAGTTTGTTACGAGTTTTAGTCAGTAGTATGTATAGATTCTGCCTCCGGGAGTGATGTCATAGATTAATAAGGTTTTATAGTTCATAAAGAAAAACTGTTTGATGGTTGTCTGTTTGATATATAAAAAAATCCAGAGCTCCAAATTCATTACCAAAGATACAATATCGTTTTACTATAAACATTACTTAATACCTGCAAATTAAATAAAAGAGAACGTGGGCCAAGTTCCCCACATCATTACTCTAAGTCATAGAGTAAGGTAGAGTGGAAATATTTTCTATGGTTATATAAATATCATGCAATCTGAAGTTGACATCAGAAACATCATGTTGTCTTTTTTTAACTAATAAGAAGTTTCTTTAGTAAACAAAGATAACACTAGTGTGACAGTTCAAAATTTTTTACGTGACGTCATGAGATATAGCTGTCGTACCACCTGTCAGCCATTTGCAAATTTGCTTTGCGTATTCTCGGAAGTAGTTCAGCTGTCAGTGTTATAAGTTTTGTGGTTATTTTCATTTATAACTTTAATTTATATAACTTTCATGGCAGAAAATTGTAAACTATTTATGCAAAACAATGCCTAGGTGCTGTATAATTGGTTGTGCGTCATCAATATCCCGCAAACCGAGCAATATTACGTTTCACCGGTAAGTTAAACACTTTCTTGGAATAACAGTATTTAAAACGTAAGTAAGTTATTTTGAAAATGATTGCGTGTATAAATCGATACATATCGTATTTTGGCGTGTTCTATTTATGCTATATTGCTCTTTTCGTTTATATTTTTATAATATTTCGGTCCGTAAATAATATTGTTTACATGGCTAGTGTCGTTACTTTAACATATGGTTTATATCGATAATTTTAATATTTAAAAATATATTAATTATTTTAGATTACCAAAAGATGAAACAAAAGAGGAAAATGGCCGAGTTACATAGAAGCAGAAAATATTAAATGTAATGAAAAAGTTACTTTTATCTGCTCACTTCATTTTACGGAAAGTTGTTTGAATCGAACTTTAAATATAATAAAATTACGAGATGATGCATTGCCAATCAAATACTCTGGTAAGAATTTTTTACAATTGCTTTTAACTTATTTAAAAAAAAAATTCTATTACACTTATTTAATTTTCATTTGATTTTACTGATTTATTTATTTAGTTTTTTATATAGTCATTTTGTTATTCTATAAATGTACCTTATTTTTAGTCTTGCGGTCATATGACGACTATTTTAATTGAAAAAAATCAGAATGCAATATGTAATAATATTAAAATATAAAATTCTGATCATAATATACTCCCAGTAAAATATGTAAATAATTTTAAAATGAGTTAAATAATTTTAATAAAAATTAAAATATGCACACTTATCAAATTAAAGGCATAGTTAAAGGTTTTCTTTGCTGTTCAATAGTATAATCTTAATACCCAAATAATTATTTTGTGGCGTGGATGTTTATTTTGCTGATGCATCATAAAATACGCTACCTTTTTGAATTTAAATTGCTGACCGTTATCATGATTGTTCACAGAACATGAATCGCAGACTGTTTTAGTGCTTATAAAATATTTATATGCTTGCCTATTGATTAATCGGCTGTTTTCTTCTTGTTAACCAAATTTTTAAATAAAATGCCAATTGTTACTTCTTTAATAATGTTACTGTTATGCCAATTGTTACTTATTCATCACCAACTTTGTTTTCTTTATTTTCTCTTGTTTATTCATCAAAGTTTACAGTATTTTTATGTTCTTTTACCAATAATATAATACAAAAATTATGTAGGTGTTTCAAGTTTTCTATGTTTACTACTAAACAAGATGTTCTGAACTAAAATTGTGACACAGTACGCACGGTATCTCTCTTAATGAGGAGGAAGCGAAATTTATTCAGTCAAAACATTTTATTGAATAAATTTATAGACAAGTTGGCTTACTAGTTACAAGCATATAAGAAAGTCGAAACTCTGTGCTTATAGTTCAGCAATCTATTACGGGAAACCTTGTACCGAGAAAAGAAGAAACTGTAAGAAAGGAACCGGTAAGAAACTGCAAGGGCTGCTTTTGCACCCTGTTTAATTTCGTACTGAAAAATAAAAAATGACTTCATTGGACCAAAATGTCACTTTCCACCAAAACAATAAAAAATATATAACAGACAAAAAAAAGCATAATAATTCATTCGTCAATCGACTCATTAAAAGCTTATTATAGTTACCGTGGTAGTTATCTTGGAGAGTAGTCACACTTCCCGTGGATGCAAAATTAAACTTATGTTAAAAAAACTATTTAATTATAATTGCAAAATGTCAACTTGACAATATATATGGAAATAATTATAAAACACGATTGATATTATTGTAAAACTTTTAAGATATATATTTTGGTACTATAGTTCTTAAAACTATGTAAAATTGGCTATATTAGAGGAAAAAGAAACATATTTATCGAGGTACAATCATATAAAATTATATTATTAAATAATATAAATGTGAAAGTTTGTGAGGATGGATGTTGGTTACTCTCATGTAAAAAGTACTGAACGGATTTTAATGAAATTTGGAATACAAATAATCTTTTACCCGTGGGAAGCGCCATCATACGCTGGTAACATATGTTATATTTACTATAGTGACGCAAGGGAGTCGCAAGAACAAAGAACGCAAGAAATTTTAGATGTCCAACAAAATACGAGCAAAAGATTGCTTAATGATTTGTAAATAATTGATAAATTCACGCCACTTTTAAAAAAATATTATTTTCTTGATACTGGCGTGAATTTTTCAATTTAATTAATAATAATCATAAATAGGATTGGTACGTAAGTGTGAAATGAATAGAAGTGTAATAGGTAATAGTTTAGCCATGCCCCTAACAATGAAAATTATATTATATTATTTAATAAGTAGTAGTAGCAGTTTCACGAAATACTAACTTTTATTTAATATGACTTCAATGTCGATACAAATATCGATATCTTGGGTCACGCCCTATGACAATCCGCCATCGAAGAATTTGCATTTGAAGTTTAGTAGTAGTAGTATTATAATTCGTCCATGGGACAGGCGAAGGAACTAAGCCATACAGCCAAATCTTGGATTGAAGTTTAGGCATATACGCTTTTTTCGTAGGTATGGCCGGTCCTCTTCTTTTATGTCTATGCTCTAAGTTGGCATTGGCATCCCTGCTTTCCCTAAGATTTTTTTTTTAATGTTAAAGGCCTCGGCTTTGCCATCTTGGCTTACTCTTCTAAATCGCTTCCGAAGCATCACTTATTTGATGATAAAGTAAGTTTTGGTTTGTGTATCCTTAACAGCAAGTGGTGAAACTGGTCCATAGTATCATGAAGGAGAATAAAACAATAGACAATTCAATAAAATAGTAACATAAACAGGAAATCTGGTTCCGTAAATATAGAGAGGGAACGGCTATTTCTTACCTTTTGTTAAGGCCCTCTCTGTCTTTTTGTACCTTAAAAGGTATAGGTTCAAAACAGGAATTAAAAAAATACATTGAAACATCGAACATCAGTGAAAATACTTTAGTGAAAATAAGAATATTTAGTAAAGATTTATATCGCTATATTGGTGTAGATCTCTTTGCCTGAAATGATTTAAGAAAAGTTTTTTGGCGCCAAACTGTCATTTGTCGGGTTGTTTCGTTTGTGTTTTCTTACTTTAATTTTTTTCTCGACGATATAATTATATAATATAATTAAATGGCGCGTACAAAAGCTTCTGTTGGTGCTAAAAGTAAGATATATATATTTAATGTTATTGTGCAATAGTAACCTTTTATTTACACTATGTTTTTAGGAAATTCATAAGCTTCATTTCACCCTCAATTTTATGTATGTTGAACCGGATTGAACAACAGTAAGCAATGATATACAAAACGCTCGTAAAATTTTAATTCATGTGAATTTTTTGGCAATATTTACAAATGCTAAAAAATTTTGTTTTTTTTTTCAGTATCTTCTGGAAAAAGCAGCAAAGCTCGATGTAGCGTTGCTCCATCAGCTAGCAGTAATGTTGGTTCAGGTATATAACAATTTTGTAGTATATCTTCCCTTCTTTTTTTAAGTTTTCGAAGCATAATATTTTGCAAATTAGTGTCCTATTTATTTTGTTGAATATTTATAAGTTAAAATATTTTATATATTCCGAACATATAACAGGAACCTGCATTTTCACTTGTAGGACACAAAGCCTCCTGCATGCTATATACCATGGTTGGCCAACCAGTTGATCACGATCAACCAGTAAAGTCAAGTCGATTGTGGCAATTCAAAAACTATAAATAAAATAAAAATGCTACATAATTGTGTACGAACTATGCTGTTTCATTTAAGATTTTAAGAAGTAAAGAAATTGGTAGATTCTACTGGGTATCGTCAGTGAAAAGTCGATCTTGGGTCTTAACAAGTTGGCCACCCCTGTTATATACTATTTAAGAATGATATAGTATGCAGAAATACAATATTTTTGACATTGAAATCTTACAAATAAACTCTTTGATTATGATTAATAGCTTATGTTATGTCAGTATTGTTACTTATGTTAAGTGCCAGTAAGTTTGGTTCGGCAAACAAACACCAGTCAAAAATTAAGATCAAAGACAAAATCTTTGTGAATGCGGGTTGGACGTAGGAACAGTGTACCATATTTTTTTCATTGTCCTAAATACCCTTCTTCCTTGTATGATGTCATTCCCTCATGTATTCTCAAACCCACAAATTTTAAATCTGTCTTAAGATATGTTAACTCTCGTTTTGTAATCATCTTAGGTAATTATATTAATAGTAATAACATTCGTCTGTGATTTAAATTCAACAAAATTCGTAATTTAACTTGACCTTTCACTTCTATCACACAAAAAGCAGAGTATATAAAATATGAATTAAACTGAGAGAAATACTGGATTCTGGCAAAATCCACAACGGCAACACCATTAATTAAAAAGAAGAAGTTTCTTTTGCCTGTTAGTGTTAAGAAAACTTTTAAAGATGTTACGAAAAAAGTGTTTTCAATATGCTTTTTGAAGATGTGGTAATTTAATTTCATAGTATCTAAATATATTAATCCTAATGCAATTTGTTTAGTTCATCTTCGGATCCTGTGAGTTTGATAAGCAGGTATTTTAAAGTTAAAGGTTGTAAATTTCAAAATTCTTTTTTCAAAAAATTACTGTATTTTGCAGAAGAAGTAGTGTTCATAATCTTAACACAAGAAATAAAAATAAACTTGCCGTTCCAAGCTTCAGGCTTCAAAAAACCAGAGGATCTGGGGAAATGTATTGCTATGTTCAATAAAGTTCCACAAAATGTAATTGACCTACCCATAAATAAATTTCAAATTCATGTATAGAATATACTTATGAGTAAAGGCTATTATAAAATTGATGATTATTTTAAGGATCGCAATGCATGGAATTGATAGCCTTCGCTTTGTTCTATACAGACTAATTATATCTACAAACCTATGTCCTACAGACTTTGAAAGTTGTATTTATTATTGTGATAATACATATTATTTTGGTAATGACATGATTTATGTAAATGTCATTACTTATGATAAAGAGCTGGTAAGTGTCTTTCGCTTGTTCTTCTTGTCAGCTAAAAGACGTCCTGAACAAGTGGTAGGGGAAAAAAATTTTTTTTGGACGATTCAAAAGTGCTTGTAATAGCCTACTTGAATAAAGATATTTTCATTTCATTTCAGTGTTGACAACCCTACCCTAGTATAATGTAGCTACCAGTAGGTGAAAAAGTTTTCATGTACGGATTTGTATTTCTGAGGATTACCGCTAACAAACAAACAACATTAGATACTTTACTTCTTTATAATATTGTACGGTTCTAGTAGCCTCTGATCGCTGACTATAAATACTTACTAGTGATTTTAAAAACCTTAAGCCTTAAGTCACATTAAACATTGGTTTTTGTTTATTTATGCCAGGTAGTGCGGAGAGAGGAGCTCGCGGCAGCTCCGGTGGTGGTAATCCGGTCTGTCCTCGCGAGACTCCGAAGTGGCAGAAACCGATCACAAACTTTTTCGTATGCAACAACAAGTCAACTGAATCAGATGAGGATAAAGAAGGAGAAGAATGTAGAGAGGAAGGTAAGTTATATTAATATTATTTTGATACCTAGGGATGACAACACATTTTTTATTTGTTTGTATGTCAGGTAGCTTGTTGAAAAATATTAAACATGTTTTTTTTTGTATAATCATTAAATTAAGGCGATGTTGTATATGTATCGCAGCCAAGTGGTATAATCAGTGGACCACTTGGGCGACTAGCCCTTTAAGTGAATGGCACCATTCAATTTCATTGAAGGGCTAGCCGCCCAATTGGTTGGCTGATTATACCACTTGGCTGTTACATATATATGTAAATTTATGCATAGATATTGGTAGTTTGTAATTTAATTTTTGATATTGAAACACTTCACTTCTCTATTCCATTATTACTTTTTTTTTTAAGCTCTCTACTACAACTCTCCGGTTGACTGGTAAAGAATGCGCCCATGGCATTAAGTCCGCCATTTGTACATTTTACTTTGTGCAATTAAGCTTAAATAAATACATTGAGTTGAAATGTCACATGACGTCACGTTTTATACAAAACTGTGACGTAGCGAGCCCCCACTCCTCTACTTTATTGCCTTTTATCTAAACTGTTTCTTGTAAAAATTGAAGCAAAAAAAATACATATTTAATATTTTACTATTATCTGAGTGTAACTAAATAGAATTTCTCTTTCTTTTACCCAGTCATTATGCCTAAATTCAAACTCATTTAATCAGTCTAGGTCTAGTCTAGTACAAGCTTTTTTGAAAGTTGAATGTTATGTCATCAAATATCGCCAACGAAATATCGCCATAAAATAGCTATGATATCATAGGTATAGTCATAGCTAGAGTTAAACTTCGTAGTCAAGATCATTTTACACCCCTTACCATCAAGATTTCTCTGTCTGGAGGTGCCTGTTGGCCCACTGTAACATCATTGGCCCTTGTATGTCTCCACTGCAGGGGCTCAGGCCTCCTTTATGGACGGTTAAAGAGCCCATTGGAGGGCGTTGGCGAAAGCAAATGCCGGGACCGACGGCTTAACGTGCCTTAATAAGTAGTGAATAATAATTTTCGGTCACCCATCCCGTGACCGACCCATGTGAAGGTTGATAACGACAACGATTGCGTGCCGTGCGTACTATATCGAGTCTTTACCGCCAAATTATCGTAAGCGACACTTTTCGTAAATGCATTTTTCATCGTAAGTAGTATTTTAAAACCTAACGGACCTATCCCTGTTGACATTTCCTGCCTAAATTTAACCGTTATAAAGTTATAGCAAGTGGTTAGTTTATCGTAAAGATATATATTTTTAAAGCCATTACGTAAACGACAGCAAGAATTTTTTATGTAAGCGCCTAGCGATCATTTTTTGTAGCGCAACTGACACTACTTGTTATCGCAACCGACATAGATGATAGAATAGACCAGAGGTTCCCAAACAATTTTTTTCTCGTAGACCATTTAAAAAAATTACTGGTTTCGGTGGACCCCCTGCCTGATTTTTACCATATTCCCAAAATTCGTCCAAAATGTGAAGATCTAACGATGGAAATTGGCATCCTATTTTTGTTTTACGAGGGTCCACCTGGACCCCTTAGGGAATCACTGGAATAGACTATGAGGCGTTTACTATAAACAAATCTGACGTGACCTGTTTATTTCTGAAAGTAATTAATATAAACTGTGCGTTTACTTTCAGCCGGTACATCGAAGCCTAAAAGGAAAAAGAATGTGATACAATCGGACGATGAAAACGAAACCAATTCAGTGCACAACTCATCGAATGGTAGTTTAGAATTGGAACCATTGAATGGTGAAGACAGTCATAAAATGGAGGAATATTATTCGAAGAATTCCAAAGGTAAGGGCGTTGGGAAGAAGACTAAAGGCAAAGAGAATGTGGACTGCAACGTGGAAAGGAGGAACTCGAAGAGAGATCTGGAAGAAATCACTTTTGGTGAAGAATCACCCCATGTCAGTAAGAAAATTAAAGTGAATTGATATTTTAAATACTTTATTCATAGTTAATATTTTTTGGAATAATGTATAAGGTAAAGTCGCCTAAAAAAATCTTTTTTCACCGCTATAGTGCTTAAAAGCCAAATATAATCAAAAGGGTAATTGTCTAATTTTAAAATCTATCGTAATCACTTTTAAAAAAATAGCGATTGTGATAGCGGTTTATGGAATTATATAACTTAAAGGAGCAGTTGCTTTTAGTACTTAAGATGATTTTAATGATAATATAATGATATAGACAATTCATTTCGCTTATAAAGATATTTGTAACTATCACTTAGACACATCCGATTAACGTAAAATGGACGTTATCGTTCATACAATATCTTTCAAAAACGTCGCGATCGCAAGCGCTATCAAATGTCAAATTGTAGCGTGTAGTTCGTGAATATCTTCAAATGTCAAATTCAAAGTGATTGTGATTGATTTTAAAATTAAACAGGCTGATTTTTTGGGTTCTGTACCCAAAAGGTAAAAGGCAACCCTTTTACTAAGACTTTGCTGTCTGTCTGTCTGTCACCAGGCTGTAACCTCATAAACCGTGAAAGTATTTCTGTTGGCGCTTCAACAAGAAATATTAATTATTTGGTAATTAGAAAATATTTGGTAGATACAAAATATTCATAAATATGTCACAAACAATGATATAAGGGCTCGGCTTAACACTGGATTCTGGCGAAATCCACAAGGGCAATGCCATTAATCATTAATTAAAAAGAAGAAGAAATTCAGACGAAAAGTTGACCTACACTGTAAGATACTCTTGGTTTATGCTATCCTGGTACTGTATGTCGTTAGTGGCTCGCGCGACGGGCATAGGGTATCGAGGTACCTATAATATATGCGGGCGATGTCGTGGGCAAACAGCTAGTTTAATTATATATTAAAATAATTTTTTTAAACATATCACAAACAAAGATATAAGGAAGGGCTCCACTTGATATGTTGACCTACGCTGTAAGATACTCCGGTTTATGCTAGCCTGGTACTTTGTGTTGTTAGTGACTCACACGCCGGTCTCAGGGTAAGGAAGTACCTGTTTTATATCGTCAGTGACTGAGGTCCTGGGTTCGATTCCCGGTCAGGTCAATGTAGAAAATATTTTTTTCCATATTGTCTCGGGTCTGGGTGTTGTTGTGCCTTCCATGAATCATATCGAAAGGGTTAGCCACTTATTTAGTTTAAGATCTTATTTATGTATGTGATATTGTATAATATGTTACTTCAAATCATGCTTTGTTAAAGGAAATTCATGATTATTGTCTCCATAAGTCTAAGAGGTTTTTGTATTTATTAATGATCAGTGGCTGTTAATTGTGTCTGTTTATTATTAGTTTTTTTTATTGTTTAGTGTTTATAGAATAATAAAAAAATGATTAATATAGAAAGATTTGACAAAGATGTATTATCATAAATAGATAAGGAAAGGATGAAGAGTATTAAAATAATTTTATAGCAGTCTTCTAGAAAATCTCCATTATTTTTCCTGTGCCGCAGTGACGCCAGACGCCAGACAGTTCATTCAGAAGTTCAGTATTAGTATTGTAACTATGCAACAGAGGGCGTTATTATTTATTAATTAAATTTGTTCATAAACGTTGACAAATAGTTTTTTGGTTATTTAACACAATAGAGCTCCAAAAAGTTGCTCTTATTATTATTTGGCTTCAATAATAATGTCTAATTCAGACAAAATGTCAAATAAAACAGTCAAATATCTCTAACCGTAAGATGTTGGCCAAATGAATTGTTTTTTCTATGACGTATGTATGGATAGTAAATTAAGAGTTATAAGATTATAATAATGTTACCAGTGATGTTAAGTTTTACATTAATAAGTCGTTGCTTAATAAAGAAATAACAACTGGACGTTTTGTTTTTTTAGTGTTTGTAGCACAGGAAAGTTGTTATGGTGTATATCCTGGTAGTAGCGATTAGGAAGTATTTAAAAAACACATAAGTTCTCGAAATCAAACTAGATGTCTCTACGGTACACAAAATGGAAATAAGGATGACGACAAATTCTTGTTGTTTTTCCTTTATTTTGTAATTTTTTTCATAAATAACTAGTCCCAAACATCTCGGGATTTCAGGCACCTATTTACCTTTCATATAGCATTGTGCATTGATCAAACGCAAAATTAATCAAATAAAATAAGGTTTTTTAAAATTTCTTCAGTAAGTATTGTTTGGATATAGTGTAACCAATAACAAAAAAGAAAAAACAAATCACTTTTTATTAAAATAAGTTATCATCTTCATACCATATCATCTTCATCCATAATAGCCAACGCATCTTTAGTAGCGATTTTGTCGACGGACAGACCGTCATTTGTGGTACCCCAAGTTTCAACTTTTAAATTGGGTATCAATTTCTCCAAATCATCTTCCATCTTTTGTTTCACCATTTGAGATTTAATATCATCGTCCAACAATTTAGTGTCGTTAAGATAAGTCTCGATTTCAAAATCCGGGGTTTTTTTTTCATATGCAGTTGTATGTGTTGTAACTTTATCGATAGCTTTAGTAGTTGCGTTATTTGCTTCATTACGTGTAACGATATCATCTGTTGTAGAATTTGTAGTTTGAGAACTATATGTTTTGAGTTCCACTCTATCAAGATAACGGGTTGTACGTTTTGTTGACTTAGTAGTAGTGATTGGTAAGATTTCATTAAATTCCAATTCGTGATCGAGAATGTTACTTCTGAAATTGGTTTTCGGTTTAGGTTTTACGCTTTCTGTTGTTGTTGTAAGAGTTGTTATATTCTTTTTCACGGTAGATTTCTTTTTGGTGATCTGTTTTTTAGTTGTTTTGATAGTTTTAGTACTGAAACTGATGTGACTTCTAGTTTTATTAGCTTTATTTGCTTTTGACACTGTCGAAGGTCCTTCCCAAAATTCTAGTATATCATAATGTGTAGTATCTGGTGGTTTCGTTGTACTGTCTATGTTTATCTTGATGCGTTCCTTAACAGCGTTCAGTTCAGTTTCTAAATTTTTTATTCTTTTAACGACATCTGAATTTATACCAGGTTCTGTTTTATTCTCTATTGGAGTTACTGTTGTGGACAATATGTCAGTGTCGTTGGCATTAATTGATTTTCTATAGATGAGTTTTCGTCCGTCGATATTATCAAATGCTTCTATTGCTAAGCCTTCGGTTGAATCATCCATAATTTTAGAATCAACAATAGATTTTCTGGCTGTTATTATACGTCTAAGTTTACTATATACTCTGGTGGTTTTAAAAGCTGGTGATGTTTTAATCTTTTCAAATCTGTGAAATTAATAATTCGCTTTGTAAAACTTCTGTCAAAAATATTTAAGCACTTGTTAAGGTCGTAACTCTGCCATCGGTTCTTAATTCTACGTTAAGAGATCTTGTACCGAGAAGAAGCGGCAAAAAACTAAACATATTTATGAAAGTATGAGAAATAAGCTAATTTGCCTTACAATGTGTCGAATTTAGAATTATTGACTTATCTGTTCGATGTACCTCAAGGCACTGTTTTGGGACCCCTCTTTTTTATTGCACTCATTAACTTTGACAAATTACTTAAAGTATATTATTTGAACTACTAGAAAATTAAGATTGTTATTGATAATTCTTACCTCATATTTTTATTCGCCCTGATATTAACCCTCTTATTGGATTTAGATTTTAAATGTTCAACATTGATCGTGTAGTTACTTCGGAATATTACTCTTTGTCTCTTGTTTGCTATAAAATCGTCGTGTGTCCGGAATTTTGTAACTAGTTTGTGTTCTATAGGTTTGGTGCGAGAATGCTTTTTATGCTCTTTCCGTGATGTTTTGTTTCCATGACGATGTTGTGTTACAAAAGTGATAGCTTCGGGGTATAATGTTATAAACGTAAATCTCGGCGTTCTACTCACTTTCTTTTTATCTACGTCAGATATTTTCATACTATTTTTTAAGGATTTCCTTTTCTTTATTCGTTTATTAGTCACAGATGGCACTGATTCTACCTCGACGCTGTTTGTAACAACTTTCTTTTTTATCGAATGCTTGTGTTTATATGATTTCGTTGGCGATTCGAATTTCCAAACGTCGTGTTGTAATTCGATACCGTTGAAGTTATTCCAAAATGTTTCCAGTTTTATTTTCAGGTCTCTTCTAGTATCTTTATCTAATTTACTATAGTGGTCGAAGATTAAATTGCGCAGACCACGTCTTATGATTTTCGTAAGATCTAGATTGGCCCTTTTCGTTTTCCGGCCGTACAAAGCTATTTTTTTTAGGAAACTGTTGAATTTAACAGTATCTCCTTTTTTATACAAAGAATCAACATATTCGCCGATCTCTTTGTATTTCATAGCGTGGTTTTCGTTTGTTAATTTTTTAATAGCAGCTTTCAGTTGACCTTTCAGCACATTACCGGGTTTAGTTCTGATTTTATCCAATTTGTCTGCCATGAATCGTCGCACTTCTCTGTTTTCTATTAATTCATAGAATTTACAACCTTTGTAATGGTACTTTCTTAATTCCTCGTCGATTACCGCTGCTACATCTTCTAAATCATCTTCGTTGTAAGAACTTAATATAATCATAATACTTTTGACGAAATCAGTGAAAGTCAACGGTGTATCATCACTATTATCATTTTTTGATCTTCTAAATATTTCATTTTTCCTGATCACATGTTTGATACTCTTCAAGAATTCTTGCACTTGATCAATTAGTTTGATATCAGCTGATTTGTCGTTTTCGTTAAACGCAAATACGGTTTCTAAAGCGATATTAACGCTTCTCGGTGGGTTTTCTAGCGTGGTCTTTTGACAATCTGTAAATACATGTATATTTTAAATGTTGTAATACTCAACTCTAGACAACTCAACTTATACACATGTCGTGTATCATACTAGCAGGGTTGCCACCCGTCCCGAATATTTTGAGACAATCCCGTTTCACAGAACTTTGTAATTCTGAGTCGACACTACGTTGAGTGAGTATGTAATGGTCTTATGTCCAAAATATTCGATTTGATTAAAGCAGAATACTTAGAAAAATAAAAAACACGCTACGATCTATGGTTTATGCTAATTGTTGAGGTAGAGGACACCTCCATCAGGCGGACATTATCTATTTCTTATCTTAATTAACCTATAAAAATAAACAAATAGAAAGTTTCTTTTTATTTCTGGCGTTGATTAACTGTCGCAAATGATGACAAACATAAATCTGGTTGCGATGGCCATCCGAATGTCCCGAATTTTGTATTCCAAAAGGTGGCAACCCTGCATATAAGAGTTCTGTTTCAAACATCTATCATGAAATTTTATTAAAGCTAAGTTTTTTAGTTTCACCAGTGTCGTAGTTTTAGCAGAGGTACTTACTGTACTGATAGGGTGTGGAAGTTGATAGATATCATAGTTTCGCAGTTATAGGTTTACATCCCAAATTCTACGTAACAATCTCATATCGACTGCATTTATTCTAGTCGCATACCCGACTATAGCCACCATAGATTAGGTTGGGATCAGGGACCGCCTAACTCATGGACGTAGCCGTAGTCGTAGCTATAGCCTACGCTTTATTGATAATTGTCATGAATCTGTTTATTTATTTAATTTTTCATTTTGTAAATTTCGCTTAACTTTAATAATTTAGTAAACAAAAACAACCAAAAGCATTGATTAAATATTTAAGTAATACCTAAAAAACGTTTAATTTTAAAACAGTATCAACAGATCCATGTGATACACCTATAAAGCGGGGGTTGTCGTAAATTTTTTTTATTATTATTTTCGCAGTAGCAGGACTAACCTCGTCGGGGGCTCGGGGCGAGATCAGGCTCGGACCCACATTTTTTTCCAACCGGGGCAGATATTGCGTTTATAATCCCCCTTAAAAAATATAAACTACCTACCGCAACAGGTTGTACTAATTGTGTACGGGGCCTCCAATCCTAATTTACGATTTGATCCCTAGGATCAGAGGCCCGAGACTCACCCCCTCAGTCCGTCACTGGCTAGAGAAGTTAAGGCATTAATTGGCTTATGATAACGATGATCTTAGAAAAGAATATAACTATAAAAATTACAGCATACCATATTCGTAAAATACAGTTATAAACACGGCAACAACCTTTCGTAAGTAAGACCAATGCATTATTATATCGAAAAAAAAACAATAAAATCCAACGACGCAATAAAAAGCCAATATGAATACTGTGTGTATCGAACAATATAATAATGTTCTCGTACCTTTTCGTGTTGTGTATCGAAGTGGTTGCATGTTTTATAGGAAAAGGTTAGTATTTAAAATTATATTAAAGGAAGCGGCTTGGCCCGCGTGTTCCCTAGGGAACTTTAGCATGATAAATATTAGTAATATTGTTTACTCCTGTGTAAATTGCTTAAACAATTTATTATAGATCATATCGTGACATGGATGTAATTACAATGATAAATTTTAATAATAAACAATGGTTGCTATGGCAACGTTGCTTTTTGGACAATTCAAAAGTGCTTGTAATAGCCTACTTGAATAAAGATATTTTCATTTCATTTCAACGTTTTAATTCTCCACACGAACTTCCACTCCCATTTTCATCCTTTTATTTGTTGTTTTTCGGGTTATAATATAGAATATGGTTACCGCATATAATGTAGCTTCCCGTAGGTGAAATTTGGTACAGGGTTAGTTTCCTAAGGGGGTGAAATAACAGGTTGGATATGGAATTTACGTATAATAAAGAACCGCGCGGGCGCAGCCGCTGGCAGAAAGCTAGTCATTCATATACATCTTACTGTAGATAGGATTAAAAAAATGTATTGTTCAAGAAAAAAAACACTAATTAAAACTGTTTCCAGTAAATCGACCGCCTTTCGCCGGATCAAAAAACTCTGCATTCGTCACTGGCGTCGCTAACGAAATAGATAGTGAAAGAGTAAGACAAAACATCATGGATAAATTGAGAACTGTCGAAACAGACCCTCTTTACGACTACAAAGACATGTGGTGGAAAACAATAAGGAAAACAGCAAATACCGAGTCACTAAAACCTGACTCTACAACAAAAAATAAAAGTACAACAACAGTAACAGAAACAACTTATAAACAATTAACAACAGCCGTTGATTTAACAACAAGAATTAATAAATTAAAGCTTAATCAAAAACGTAAACGATTTGGAGATGTGACGGGACTTAAAAATAACATTCCCAAATCAAAATTTAAGAAAGTTAAAGCAATGGTAAAAGATGATAGTGGTGAAAAGAATAAGACCTTAAATATCGAAGATTTCATATACAACGATGTGTTAATAGGAAATTTCTCTTCTGCACATAATAATTTTATTGAATATAAAAGAAATTACACTAAAGATGTCAGCAAAGATAATATGACAAATATATATAATAGTAACAAGATATTCCAAGAGATTATCTCTAGTATGAATAAAACACAAGTAAATGACTTTTACAATCAAAGTTACCCACTATACGACAGCAGTAAGTATATGACTTTAACAGCTATGATGTGTGATATTTTCTAAATAAAATTTGTTATTCCACGATTTAAAATCTCTCTTGGTACTTCTTAGGTCCAAAAGAAATATAATCTATTTTTGCAGTTTATGACTTTTCATTAGCATAATTTAGGGATTTAGAAAGAAGTTCGACCTATCATATTATATTATGAGGATTATAGCACCCCCTGTCGCTGGCGCCCGGGACAAGTACCCCTAGACCTGGCCCTGGAGACAGTTTGGTGTTACGTCTTATATTTAATAGGATATTCTACTTTGAAATAATACTTGTTACTTTATTTTAATTTAAAGTAATAGGACAAATATTTCGGGAAAACAAACAAGTTTTGTTGCCTTAAAATAAAATAAAATAAAAAAATATACCCTCGAAACCGCTGCCCGTCATGACGTCATCAAAGATGTCAATAAAACAAGAACAACGCCATCTAACGATTGATTACGAAATAAGCTAAGAAAAGCGCTATCTAGGAATTTGACTTATGATTAATATCTCTAGACTAATCTGACAGCTTGGTCGCCACAGTGTTTCAAATCACGTGACACACAGACATAAATTACGACTTTAATTTTAAGATAATCGTGCTATTTTAAGGCTCAATAATATATTTTTAGCACAATACACTACCGTAAAGCGCGACTACGGCGATTACGGTATGAAAACAACATGGCACCTGTTCCATAGCGGCAAGAGAGAGTGGCTGTTGCCGTTCGAAAGGCCCTCGCCGATGCCACCGTACGGACTAATAACCACTACTGGTTAGTGTCAGCTTGCGTTTTGTTGTTTAAGACAACGATTATGCTATTCCGTTATAATATCAGAGTCGTACGTTGGCAGGGCAGGATCTAGGGGGGCGGGGGACTATTCCTTTTTTTAGGGCTCCGTACACAAGTAGTAAATCTTTGCTGTTTGTCTGTCACCAGACTGTATCACATTTGAAATTTTCACAGATGATGTATTACTGTAGCCGTTTCAACAATGATATATTAAATATTATCCCTTGCGTTTAGTTTACTTTGGAGGTGTAATTAGTACACATTCGGAACACACAAGATGGCGTTTTTGAATAAAATTGTTACGAAATGAGGTAATGAGGAAGTATTAAAAAAAACATTAGTTCCCGAAATCAAACTAGATGTCGCTACGGTACGTTCTTGATTTCTCCATGACAACCCTTCCGGTTTTCTTTCATGTTTAAAAGTAAGTTAGTTTTCAAAACTCAATAAACAATTCATATTCTATTTGTACTTTTTCGTTTTTTTATCGATATCTAAGTTTAAAACTTTTCAAATTTCAGTTTTTTAATATGTTACGTAAAAGGAACGAAAATGACTGTCTTTGGTCCATTCGTTTCCTGCAAAAATCAACTTTTGCTAGAGTCGCCATCTAGTGGAGGTGCTTTTTTAGTGCTTTCGTTTTTTTTTAATACTTCCTGATTACGGCAACTCACGCTCCCGCTAGCGCTCGACTAGGACTGATTGCAAGACGTGCCAATTAGCACGTATTCGAGTATTCACTATGCGCGCTTATGTAATATCTGCCGCTTTTTATATAATATCATTGCGTTTCAACAAAAAATGCTAAAAATCAGAATGAAATAAATATCCAAGGGGGCTCACGTACAACAAACGTGATATTTTTGCTTGTTTTTCAGAATATGCTTTTATATAGTAACTTTAAATAAAAATATATACGACGAACCTGCTTTTTTTCCTTTTCACAGAAGAGCCAAAAGATTTCATAACTACATTGAACCATTATAAAACGACACACAGCGAGGGCTACTTCTCCACGTTCCTGACGTATCTATTCTACGTCATATCAGAGAAACCAGACAGAGATGTCCGCTTACTAAGTCTTGCTGTTGCTAAGGAATATGGTGTCTTGTAAGGTTTCAGTTTATCAATAAATCACAGGCTTTTATTCTAATTTCAGTATCTATCGCGATTCCTTTCATATTCGCATTTGGGAGATATTAAATTTCACATTTTAAAGATATTAACTATTCGACATATGATTTACTAACGCGGATTTTTTTTTAAGTTATTGTGTGAACGTTATCATTAATTGGAATAGGGAAAAAAAAGAAATTCTACTTAGTCTGTTAGTTAGATAATAAAAAAATATTAGATACGTATTTTTTTTAGTTCAATATAACAAGAAATAGCTTAGATAACAGGCATTAAAGTTGGCACAGTTTTGTAAAAAATGCATTTTTTTGTATCCTTACAATTGTTTCTTGTTTTTCTCAATATATTTCTTTTTTTGGCGCGCGGAGTATGCTGGTCCTCTAGGCAGTTGCCCACTCTGCCTTAAGGTTAATCCACCCTGGTCCTTCCTGGCTGCTATTTACTCTGAAGAAGGAAAAATATTTTAATACCGTTTCAGAAAGAACGAACCATTCATAAGCGACTTCGGCCCTGCATTTATAAAAATTTTGAAGAACTTCTCAGTGGATCTCGCGGAGTCGGACCCTGATTACACGAAAGGTAATGGAAGGAAATTATTTTTTATTTATTAATAAGCATCAACAAGATTAAAATTTACTTAAACATAGTTTACATTGTATAAGGAACTAAATAATCCGGTGTACTTTGTTTCACCTCAACGTTTTGTCCCCTGGACTGTGGCAAACATTAAAAAAAACAACAACTAATCAAGACAAACGGACAGCAATTGAATTTATAGCAATTATATTTATAGATTATTACAAATACAATCTTATTGAGGAAGTATTTAAAAGAAAAACATTAGTTCCCGAAATCAAAATAGATGTCGCTACGATACGTTCTAGATTTCTCCATGACAACACTTCCGGTTTTCTTTCATTTATAAAAGTAAATTAGCTTTCAAAACTCAATAAACAACTCATATTCTATTTGTACTTTTTCGTATTTGTATTGATATCTATGTTTCGAACTTTGCCAATTTCAGTTTTTTTATATGTTCGTTAAAAGGAACGGAAATGACTGTCTTTGGTCTATTCGTTTCCTGCAAAAATCAACTTTTGCTAGAGTCGCCATCTAGTGAAGTTGCTTGTTTAGTGCTTTCGTTTTTTTTAAATACTTCCTATTTAGAAGTGTTACAGAATAGAAATTTAAAAAGTCATATCTGTCAATCACAGAAATCTTTTTCTTGATATGCCACTCCTATCGAAGCATGAAGGCCATCTTTGTTTTGGAGACTGCTGCTCATAACAGTGGGCTAATTGACTAGCTGTAAAATTCAATCGCAATCCCTTGTGAACTTATAGCGATTTGTGGAATTATGTAACTTTTAAAGCTGCAATCGCATTAAATGATGTTTTAAAATATCTAAAATAAATAACCAAAATAAATAACCAAAAACGACATATTTTTTACTTTTGGCAAAATTTTTCTTTGTTCCATATAAACTTTAAAATGTAAAGATCCCTGTGAAAGTAGCTTGCATAGAAACTGCTAGGTGGCTTAGTGACGATACTTGGTTTAGAGGGGCTGCTTACAATTTCTTGAACTTTAAACTCTCATTACTCAAAATCGCAATTTTTGCATTGTGTCACTATCGTTCTCAACGTACGAAATTATTGAAACTTAGTTCAAACCAGTCAAAAGATTGCAGTGTAGTGTGCCCACCATATGCACATACACACGCAATAGCTTTCAAAGAAATCGGCGTCTAACGGTTGAATTAGACAATTCTAATTAGAGTCAAATTTGCGAACACCGTTATTGCAATAGCTATCGCATGTCAAAAAGTTGTAGCGTGAAATTCTTGAATATCTGACAAATCGTAAGGGATTGCGAGAGATTTTAAAATTGTATTATTAGCCCCCGGGAGTATAGAGCTCCGTCATAACCAATCCCTAAAGTTCTTGAGCCAGGAATGTCATTTGATTCCAACACTACATCATATTCCCATATTTTTTCCTTAAAGATTAATATAATATAAAAAGAATTAAATTATCAGTATAGTACAGGTATGATATCTGTCTAACCACCTATACTCCATTCATTAGACAGAAGTGAAATAAGATTCTTTTTATGGTATACTTTGTGACAAAATATCAATAATCATGTTACTCTTAAGACTGACGGCTAATTTGCTACATATCCACTTAAATATCAGCTGCTATACTTGACTGTTGTCATTTAAGCTAACTATTAAACAAATTTATGAGTATATGACTAATTTAAATGATTTAATAACTATTACAATAAAAAGTGTCCATCGTAAAGAACCTAAAGAAACAGGGTTGGATAGTTTCGGCACGATTCTCATGTCACTATAACTCTACCAAATTTAAAACGTTGCCTAACGCCTTCAAGCGTTTCGGTAGTACAGCTTTTTAATTTTGTCAGACTATTATTTATTCATAATTGTTAAAATCGTAATCTGGGATTGTCATCCATTGTGAATGCTACTGCCTTTCTTGTTGTTTAACCGTTTTCCGTGATGTTATTGTTTTATTTTTGTTGTTAAGTTTTGGTAAATATGGACGATGCCGGTACAGGCCCGAGTGGCCTACAAAAATTACACTCTAAGCCTGGGGGCTTAGAGGCTTAGAGTGTAATTTTCCTGTCCTGAGTCCCTGAAATGTCAAAGTTTGAGGGTAGCTACCCAGTTTTTCCAATGTCTTCATCAATAGTCTAACTTATTACACTTACAATTAGAATTTATCAAAACACACAGATAGTTTCAGTTTTAGTTCCATGTTGGCTTGGGAATAAAAGATGAATTTATAAAATGCTGGCCTCATCTCAACTCCGAGGTATCATAAAAAATGGAAAATTGCCCAGCTCTTTCAGACTACCTAACGTTCAAAGTCTCAACAAAACTAATATAGATTTTTTAAATTTATCTTGAAAATAAAATGTTCTGTACTGCTGCTTCTATGACCCACTTTTTTCTAATGTTATAGTGAATGGAGTATAGGGTGATACCACTAACCATGATTACTCCAAGTTTGATATTATTACCAGACAAATAAATAAAGAACCGTGTGGCAAATCCAACATTTTGTTTACACTCGAAGAATATATGCATGAATTAAAATACCATGATCGAACTCGCAACAACGCCATCTCTTGTCAAAAATACTTACTAAATAATAAAGTTCTTACATTTCTTACAACTTTATACTACATTATTTAATAGCAACAATCCATTTGATTACAGCCTATTCTTATATTCTATATAAAAGTTTACCAGAGAGAAAATCGACATTAGCACCAGGCATAACCTATATTATAGACTTCATCAATACATTTTTCAACGTCAAAGAAGGTTTGGAACTTTTCAAAGCGTTAGACAACTTGAACAAATTCCCAAATACGACGGCGAACGCTTACGAAATATTAAGAACACTAACTAAAGCTATATTTGCACCTTACATAAGATTCACTGGTACCATGAAGTCTAGAATGCTTATCGAATCAATAAACAATGAGATAGTAAGAGCCAATGATAATGAAATTGTAGAACGAGCAAAATCAAGCAAAGAAAATGTTACCAACGGGACAGATCTTAGAAGACTAGGTTTTTTTACAAACCGAACTAGATTTCTTGTTGTCGACAGAAAGGAATCTGACCAATCTGAGGATGAAGAGAACATTATAAGAAATATCCAAAATAAATTAAGATATACTAGTAACTTTATTTATGAAATAAAGGACGCAAAGAAAAGTAATGCAAATGTGAAACTCGTTAAAAGTTCTGATGAAACTCCTGTTTTTACGAAGCGTACGACAGAATACAATCCATTTCAAAAACACATAGGTGATTCTTTTTTTCTTTACTGTTAAAACCTCTCTTTTATATATTTTTATCTGTAGCCCTTTCTAATAATTTGCAAATTCCAATTGTTATTTTTTATAAGTCCTTTTTATCGTTAATGTCATCAGTAGAATGATAGTGTATCCACAAAAACGGTGGAGCATTAGTGTATTTTCAATTGGAAGCTGAAAAAAAATTTTCATACCTTAGTCATTGGATGAGTTACCGTAAACTTATTACCTTGAAACTTTTTTGTTTCACGAGTCTTGTCAACCCTTGGACCCAGTTCCAATTCTCGATAGTTCTAATACATAATAAATTTCTAATTACAGCTCGATTCAAAATTGTAACAAGAAAAACTGACAGTTCTAAACGTGAAAAAATTCTCTCCACCACCATGACAAAGTCTTACAAACACAAACTCAAAATTAAAGAGAAACACTCAGAAACGTTCGATAATTATGTTAAATTCCAAAAAATACAGCACGACGCTAAACTTCAATTAGGAAAAGTAACTAAAAACTACTATATGGATAAAAGAATAGCCGACGATCGATATAAACAAACCACTTTAAAAAGAAAAATCTTTGGACGAACTATTTATCATAAACCAAATGTCGAAATTATTAAATTGAGTAAAGCACCTACTATCGATACTCACAATAAAAATCGCTATATAACAAAAACAATCGGCTCGAAAACTAATGAAGCTGCTCATGTTACAACAAAAAAGAAGACAGTGATACCCAAAAACAAACGTCATAAAATTCCATTGAAAACATTCGTTTTAGTGAACGATTTCGGTAGAAATCCACTTAAAATTACAAGTTTAATAAAAAATAAGAACGTAAAAGTTTACAAACCACATGCTCATGGCGTCACTGAATCCAAAGGCGACATAGACGAAAAATTCAAAGGTAGAAACAGTGTTCTCAGCAAAATTACAGCACCTACCAGTTATAGCTACGAAGAGGATGAACTAAAATTCAATATTAACGATGCTTTTAAGCATAATGAACTTTATTACAAAGCTAGACAGTTCGATTTAAATCCAGAAAGAAAGGAGGGTATTAACAAGCTCTCTAGCTATAGTAGCGAAGAGGCGGCCATTAAATCTAACTTATATAAAGTTATTGGTTTCAATCATATTGTTAGGAATGCCACTTTCGGCCATATATATAGCCGGTAAACGCATAACGTCTTATAAAACGAGGACTCAAGTAAGTACTTGGTTTACCGTTGCCTCCTAAAGACAATGATAGAAGAACAAACGTCAAACTGCTACGTGTTGACTTATTTTGGTCGGTTAATGGTTTAAATCTGGTACTAAAGTTAGTACTCATACAATGAGAGATGAAGTTAATAATAGCTAATAAAATAAATAAGAATAAAAACATAAAGCGGTCTCTAAGAGAAAATGCAACACGATTAAAAAGAGAGGGAAGATAGCAGTAGCCAATCAGTATCTCTTTATTTGTCCACGCATAAAAGACGTTAATTTTCAAATAATACAATCAAATCAATTTCAATATCTAAAGCTATTTGAAATAAAGTCATATAAAATGTAACATTATTAGACTGATAGGATACCGGGCAACTTCTTTCTCTTCCTAGTACCGTTTTGAGAACTGCAAAGTCATTGCCTAATTCCAAATATAACTATATGTTAAGACATTTATAGCGCTTTTCCGTTTCATTTTATTAATTACGACGAACGAATGATAAAGAACGATGAATATAGGTTTGACAGCAGTATTTCCAACCTATTCATTCATTCCAAATTCACTCACCAAAAACATGTCAAAGTAAATATCGTCATAGATTCTCGCATCCTATGTATAGTTATGACTAGAAATTATAATTATATTAAATTTAAGCTTAGTTTCATCAGGTTTTTAATCTATTTAGTTTTTAAATAATTTGTTAGATGATAAGAAGCATTCAAAGATAAATTGTGCTGCCAAATTATTTGTTGTTTTATTTGAAAGTTGTATTTGTTAAATTGTCAAAAAACCTTTGATTATTAAAAATGTTGAATATTTAACACTTGTTTTCTTATTCTATTTTATTTATTGTATTACATTATTCAGATTTATCTATTTAATTCTCCATCTTGCACCCCCCTCTTTTTATAATATAGTTTGTTTTTTCTTTCATCATGCCTCGGGTTGCTTGGAAGAGAGACGTATCAATAAGGTCGCCCTTTGTATTCTCTCTCTGTTTTCTAGTTTTTCTGTAATATGTCCTGTCTAGCGTGCACTAAAGAATATTATTATGTTTTTCCCGTTTGTAGAGTAAATGATGGGGATCGTTTAGATGTATTCTAACGAAACTTGCTGTTTTTAAGTTTAAAACATTGCTTTAGCATATTGCAACGTCAGGTTGCTCTTGAAACACTTTCTAGTAAAAAGGATCCCACACAAAACTGCGACGCGACGACATATAATGCTTGCCGTATCGCAGGAACTTGCGATGCGATTGCTGCTATAAAATTTCGTGCGGCATAGCAACAGTTGACCATATTCATAACGGTAGTCTGCCATATTGAATGTGTTTTTGGGAATAGTGACAGATCACAGAAAAATTGTTGCACTACTTTTATTGTTATCTAAATAGATATAGAAGAAAAGGAAGATTTTGGGTTTGTTTTATTATGAACGCTGATGGAAACTGTTCTACTGGAAAATACTATGGTTTAAGAACAAAAAGAACAGGAAATAGCGGCACCAAGTGTAAGTAATGTGTAATCGCAGAAACGCGCAATGCGATTCAGATCGGAAGTTCTTGCGGTGCATTGTTGCAAGTTTGCAGATATTTGCGATGCGGTGTGAATTCATAGTAATATGTAGCAACTCTGAGCCACGCAGTTATGTGCATGAATTCACAATTATGTGTAGCAACTCTGAGCCAGTTTAGAGGCTTGCAAGAGTAGATATTGGTGAAACGCGTATCGGAAGTCCAGAAAGAGCAAAGATTAAAAAATTGCAAGATACAAGTAAAAAGAGGTCGTGTAGCGAATCGAAGTGGTTAAAAAAGCTTATTATAAGGTATCCGATTATATAACAGATATGAACGCTTGGACTTGAGACGATCCAGCAACTGGAGAGGTGATTACTTCTAAACTCATTATCTTGTTTCCATTATTATTAAATGATTATTTTATCATTATAAGACCATAGTTTTTTTTTCTGTCTCTGTTTATAATGTATTGATCTGGTAATGACATGGTTTTTGTAAATGTCATTACTCTTATTAGAGCTGGTGAGTTTCTTGCTCGTTCTTCTTATCAGCCAAAAGACGTCCTGAACGAGTGGTAGGAAAAAATGTTGGACGATTCGAAAGTACTTTTAAGAAGTCTATTTGGATAAAGATTATTTTGATTTGACTTTGACTATCTGGTTCGGTGCAGATTTGGCGTTTCAACATAAATATCTGTGATGTTGCTAACGATTGCTTACTATTGAATTACTAATGAGCCCGACATAATAAGTTTTTTGTCACCCATTGAAAAATTTAATATTTAAAATCCAAGAACGAACGCGTCAATCTCTATGTAGCTGAGCTCAACATACATATAAATATGCATAAAAATATAATATATCTTTATGCGTTGCTAATAAAATACACGATAATAAAAATATGGCATAAAAATAACAGTTAAAGGAAAAAATAAATATAAATTCGTTTTTTTCAAAATGTTTTTAATCGTATGGAGTGCAATGAGCTTCGGCATCGTGATAGGAAATGAATCTGCCATTGATATAACAGAAAACGCAATAGAAACAACAGAAAAAAACACAAGCGTGTCTACCACTGAAGGTGAGTCTTAATTTAAGAATGAAAATATAGACATATTTGATAAAATAAATACTTCCTGTATTTAAAAAAAAAAATAGTTCTCGAAATAAAACTAGATGTCGCTACGGTAATTTTTTGATTTCTCCATGATAACCCTTCCGGTTTTCTTTCATTAAAAGTAAATTAAATTTCAGAACTCAATAAACAACTCATATTCTATTTGTATTGATATCTTATATATGATCTTCTATTTATGAGATATGTTAGTTAAATAGAGCGGAAACTACTATCTTTGGTCCACTAATTTCCTGCAAAAATCAACTTTTGTTAGAGTCCGTTTCTTGTGAAGTGCTTTTCGTTTTTTTTTTCTTAAAATACTTCCTTATTATTATTCAGAATGGTTTCATAAATAAAATTCAATAGGTTGGATCCATTACAAATAGATAATCAGACACAACAAAAACTCATCTAGTTCAGAAATAAGATGACAAACATTATCTTGTTACTTTCAGATTACCACAAAAATGAAATTTACTTCACAACGAAACTATACACTAATCCTGTTAAGAAAATATTTCAAGAAATCGCTCTAAGAAACAAAAAGCTGCACATTAACAATAGTCTGATTGCTGATGCTGGCCCCTCCTTATATGATTATCCAGAAGTGTGGTGGACTATCAAAACAACAGAACCCGTGAGAATAGCAAATATATTCCACAGAAACCCTGGTGAAATTAACGTAGTCACTAAAGCTGGTGATAAAGAGTTCAAACTCAAAATGAGGAAAGAAGAAACTCTAAAACCAAAAATTGTCAAACCAAAACACAAATTAATCAAAAGGAAAAAGAAGAAAAAACTAGCGCAGAGGAATGGAACTAATAAATTTTTTAAAATACGCAGAAAAAAGAAGAGAGTCACTCTGACTACTGGAGCTACTGCTAAAACTGTGAAAGGTGATACTTATATGTTTATTATAAACAGGGATGATAATAAAGGTGATTTGTCCGTAGAAGCGAATGCTACTAATATATTAGTTGATATAAGAAAAAAAAATAGCTCGAAAACTATTCATGCTTCAGTGAAATCAGCATTTCTCATTAATAAAAATGATGATTTAGGTAACTATGATTATATAATACACGCGGTAAGGAAAAAGAATGCCACTTCTAATTCTGAATCAGATGGTTACGACTACTACTATGGTAACGTTGATGACAATAAGGAAAAAACTATAGTGAAAGTTTTGAAACCTGATGAAACTGGTAAAGGATTGGAGATGCTCAAGAAAGGTGGTAGTATTTTAATACGACCAGAGAACACAGGCGAACTTGAGAAAGTACTCAAAAAAGGTGTCATAAATCAAATGACAACAAAAACTATGACAACTAATGTGAACGGTATACCTCAACAAGGGAGGTTTCCTCAACCCTACGGCCCAAATTATCCTAGAAACGCGAACCCAAATATGAATTCTTTTATGAGAAATCCAAATTTCATGAGAAACCCGATGAACATATATGGAAATAACGCTAACCAAAATTTCAACAGAAACCCGTTACAAAACAGAAACATAGCTGGCAACTTTCAAAATGGCAACAATTTTGCTAGACCACAGTACAATCCGAATATGAACAACTTTAATCGAAATCCAAATCAAAATTTCAATTATAACAGAAATCAATTCAACCGGAACATAAATCATGATGGATATCCACCCTATCAAAACTTTAACGGGATTCCTAATGCAGGTTTTAATATGAACCAAAACTTTGATAGGAGAAGACCGTATAACCAAAATTTCGCTCCTCAACGCTATAACCCAAATGCTAATTTTGATCCATTTAATAAGAATGCGAATTATATCTATAAAGACCCAGGTCCTAACCAAGTATACGCATCACCACCAATATCTCAACCAAACGCCAATAACAATCCAACTTTTGAAGGGGATCAGCAAAGGAATATAGGAAGAGAAGATAATGTCACCAGAGAGACTACTACCACTCCAGCTACAGTCACTGAAGCACCGATTGCAACTCCAGATGCAGTCAGTGAAGCAACGATTGCCACTCCGGACGTAGACAATGAAACGACGTTTACAACCACAACTGAAGAAACTCCTGATCCCCAAATTGATCCTGATGCTTATCTACCTACTATTGCAGGCACAGGATTATTCGAAGGCATGGGTTTGCCAGGTGGCGGTGCGCCTGTAACGACTTCTACGACTACTACAACTAGAAGAACTAGAGGGAGAAGAACTAGCGTAATTACAACTACTATTCTAACCCGTCCTTATCTTATGACTTCAGTAGTAACTATGAAAGGGGGTAGAGGACCTATGACTATTTCGACGCCTCCAAATTTCGAGCCTCCTACAGGTAAAATTCTTAGCTACTTTAGGCATTTCAGCCAACATTTGTAATGATTAGAGATTGTTAATTTTTCCATTAACTACGATTACAGGTTTAATTTCAGATAGGGCGCTTGTGCACCACACTGAATTTTCAGGTCAGGCGGTCTTAAAATTTCCGGAATTTTACTTTTATCTATTCCGTACCGGTTTTTTTTAGGTCCGCGATGTCCGCGATTTATAAGTAATCGATATTTATTGTAGATTATAAAATGCTATATTTTATATGATGATTTAATATAGTTGGTAAATATCACTGCATATGCTTTGACAAACTCGATATAGTTCTAATTTTATCATCGTATGGTTCTAGTATAGATACTTTGCTAGATTCTAGAATCGTATTAAAATTATCGATAACTTAAGGTAAGTCATATAAGTGTTGTTACGCTTAGACACCTAAACAACTGAACCCATCTTAATAGAATTTAATATAAAAATAGAACCTTAACTTTAAGAAAGGACATAGGCTACCTTTTATCACGAAAAATAGGTGGAAATAGAGGATGGAAATTTGCCATTATTTAATTTTTTTTATGAGATAAATATATATAAATATTTCATATCAGAAATATCCTAAAAGAAAAATAATTTTGCTTAAAAAAACTATGCCATGAGTATAAGTTCCAAAAATCTCATCGTACCTAGCATAAGTGACGTATAGCTTCAAAGAGAGCTGCCCTAAACTGCGCCGCTCCGATCGGGAAAAAAACGGCCAAGTGCACAAGCTACTCATCCGGATTTTCATGTCATTCCGGACCGGAAAAAATCGGACCGCTGGACCTGAAAATTCACAAAGTGCACAAGCGCCTTTAAGGATCTTAACGCATTTGGTTTGCTGAAGTTAAGCAATCGTCGGAAGGGACGGTCTAATTGTGAGTGACCAATTTATACGACGTTCCCGAAGGTATTTAAGCCGCTGGTCACGGGTGAATTTGCTGTCGTTATCTTTCATCAAAGCAGTCATACTTTGATGGATCATGGCCCATTTTCCCTATCCGATTCGATTCCATTGTTGAGGTAGACTTCAAGCCCGAAAGTGGGCATATTAATAGACTGAATTTCCGCAGAACCCACCAGTTCATTCGTTCAAGATCTCCAGGATTTGATGACAGAGCTGAAAGCCGGCTATTTCTCAGCCGCGATGGTCGGACTTTTCGACACTTTGGCTACCAAAAACAGAACAAACGCAAGGACATTGTTTCGGAACTTTTATAAGGAATTCGAAAACATGTGAGTTTTCTCATTCTGCTTTTTAACGGATATCTCCGATTCCGATGTGTCTGCGACATTGCGGGTGTTCCGATTGTAAACTTACACATTTTGATAACGCGTATAACACAATGCCACGCGTGAGCAATGCAGCATAGAGTAGAGTAGAGTGAAGTAGATTACAGTAGAGCAGTAATATTTAAATGCCTTTAAATAGGGTACTCTGTTTGATTTATTTTTTGTCAGCTTATAGGTATAGTTGCAATTCTTGCGCGAGGTAGTCTTCCGGTCAAATCATATTTATTTAATTTTATTATATTTCTAACACGATATATCGGAATCGGTGATATTTAATTTGTTTTTGCACCTTTTTATTACCATTCGATCTTTCTTTGTATCTCCGCTGTCAGTATCGGTATAAGTATCGTATCGGCCGAAGTGTCTATTGATGTTGTTCCATTAATATGATAGGTATTTATAATCCCACCTTACACAGTTGAATTAATTACTAGCTTTAGTTTAGCATTGTAAATTAATATATTTTATTAATCATCATCACCAGCCCTTTTTCGTCCCCACTATAGGGGGGACCACTGCAGGGGCTCAGGCATTACCTGTGGATGATTAAGGAGGATGGCCCAATGCGTACTGGAGGGTATTTACGACTGCAAATGCGGCCGGAACCAATGGCGCTTAACTTTCCTAACTTGTCTTCCCAAGTAGTAGTTCGAGGCAATAATGTTTTTCCATCCCGTGACCGACCCTTGCGAAAGTTGCTTAATAACAATGAACGATCGCGATCGACTATGTCACTTCGATAAATAATATTAACACGGCTCATGATTTCAGGGTGAAGGTTGACAATTTATTGGAATTGGGTAAACCTATATACGAAGCGTTGGAGAAACTGAACGAGATTCTGGAAAGTGGTCCAATAGATGCTTTACAAGGTATTAAACGGTGTATTCGAGTACATTATCAAAAGCATTTAGAACATCTACTCGTACCTTTCTTCCACAATGACTGTCCCTTTCCCGCCGACTTGATGTATACCTATATGACACGGATAGTTTCAACAGTGTTAGTGCGATTCATTGGCGCATAATGCCATCTAGTATTGCATAGAAGAAACTGCACCACTGCGCTCCATAAAAATAATAAACTTTATTTGTTTCCAGATCGCTGTAAAATACTCCATCATGCAATGTTCACGAGAAAACAGACAATAACAGCAGACATAAACTCTGTAGTAGATTATATAGACACAATGTTCAATGAAGAAGACGGAATGGCATTATTTAAAGCTGTCGAAAAGATCTACAACTTTCCGAATGTACCTTTTGGAGTAGAAAAGGTGCTCAGAGATTTGTCTGAGGCTATATTTCATCCCTTAATCAGATACCACGGTAGGGCCAAAGAAAAGGTATTATTGGATTCCTTAAACCAGCTAATCGAGAATCATATGACCGCGGCTCCGGTGCAAAGACGACATCAGAATTATAGAACGAAAGTAATAAAATTTCGATCAAAATTAAAAAGTGATGTCACTGATTTAAAATATATTAACGCTGTAGCAAACGAATACAATAATGCAAAGCGTACTGCTAATATAGAACCTAAACTGTTTGAAGTAATAAAGAACAATTTGAATAAATCTGAAACTAAAAGCATCGATACCGCCAAAATCATAAATTTAACACAGAAAATGGAGAAAAAACTTAGATACGAAATAAAAGATGACAAGTTGACAACGAAAAACTTAAAAATAAGTAAAATACAAAATAATAATGAAGCTGATAATGTGATTGTTAAAACGACCACGCCGATGAAAGCTGCGGTGAATATGACAAATACAGAAAAGCATAAGAACAAGAAATCCCATCACAAGAAAGTATCGATCAACAAACTTTTGCGACTGAAAATGAAGCATCCGAAAATGTACAAAAAGTATTTCAAGAGGAAAAAGAAACGCACGCAAAACAAAAGACAGAGGAAACAAAAGAAATCTCACAGAACGCAATCGAAATACAGACTGTCGACGGCGGAGAAGCTCCTATTGAAATATAAAATAATAGAACACGAATATCAGAAGCTATTAAAGCATTACAGCGCTAATAAAAAGTTGCAGAAACACAAGATATTCAACAAAATATACAATCATAGGAAATCTAACGACGAACAATCCCCGTTAAGTCATGCTAAAAATATTGCTGTTTCTAGAAAAACAATGAAACCAAAATCCAATAAAGACGTGAGCAAACAGAAATTTGGTCGAATACAAAAATGGCGGCCGATTCAAGTTGAATCCACCGATCAAACAACATCCTATTTGAACGCAAAGAAATTCACACCGGAAGATCATGTTTTACTGAATAAGTTTCACAATTTCAACAAAGTACTTACGAGGAAATCACTTAATGGAAACTATAATCCTCCAATTGAACATTCTAGTTACAGCAGCGAAGGGAGTATTTTGAAAGACAATATCGATCACGCAATGAAACATGATAATTTTAATGTTATCAAAGAATCAAGAAACAAAATCAACCAACTATCGAGCTTTAGTAGCGAAGAAGTAATTTTGAAATCTAAAATTTACAAAATACTCCTATCTAATGATGATTCTAAAAGCAGCAGTGAAGAACTCGATGCTAGCTATAAAAAGAGATTGAAAGATGGCGTCAGAAGGTATCTATTAAGTAGAAGGAATTTTAGAGCTATAGACGCAATGTCCTCTTATAGCGACGATGAACAATTAATAAAGAAAAAATTAAACATTTAGATAGATAAAAAAAATGGTATATCCTCCATGGATGATATCTGTCGCTAGATGGCAGCACAGTGTTTGAAACATTTCTGTCTGGAAAGGAGACGTCAACGGATCAGACATAAAATGTATAATTGATTTTATAATTTATTAGACTAGTATTCCTTTATGAGGCAATTTTTTTATTATTTTTATATTTAATCAAAGATTTAAGTTTATTTCACTTATAGAAATAGCTTTGATTATCTAAAACCTTATAGAGTTATATCGAGATATCAATAGGCGCGACGACCGAACGTACTTACGATTATGGTTTATACCGAGTATTGTTTCAATAATCACAAAATGTGAATAAATACATCGCGTTGAAAGACTTATGTTTTTTTTTCTATTTTTCTGTTCATCTCACTCACACTACGTTTATAAGTAAGTAGCCACATCTATGGCCTAATGAGAAAATATATTAAGAAAAAAAAGAAAGCACTAAAAGAGCACTTCCACTAGATGGCGACTCTAGCAAAACTTGATTTTTGCAGGAAACGAATGGACCAAAGCCAATCATTTCTGTTCTTTTTAACTAAAATATTAAATAACTAAAATTTGAAAAGTTCGAAACTTAGATATCAATACAAATACGAAAAAGTACAATTAGATTATGAGTTGTTTTGTTGAGTTTTCAAAACCAATTTACTTTTAACCTGAAAGAAAACCGAAAGGGTTGTCATGGAGAAATCAAAAACGTACCGTAGCGACATCTAGTTTGATATCGGGAACTAATTTTTTTTTAAATACTTCATCATTAAAACTATATAATAATGGCATACTTTTGAATGTTAATCAATTCTATTATTCATGAATTAACATATCTAATTATTAATATTATGGTTAGATATTTTTTGTCGTACCGGTATCACTCTAATCATATGGTCCTTTCTTTTCTTCGGTAGGTACAAAGTTATCAAGAATTATTACAATAAAGTATATCTAAACTTCTTAGTAGTTATACTCGGGTATATTTTCGAGAATAAACGTTGTTGTAACATTAATTTTATTCTATTCCACTGTCATCTTTGATATTTTACGGAACTTTGAAGGCCTATTATGTACATACTTCTTAATTACTACTAAATTAGTTAAATTATATTAATTTCTACATTTCAAATGAAAATGAAATGAATGAAAGATTAATCCATGTCGGCTATTACATACTACACTCGGTTCAAATTTAAAAACTAACGTCACCGTTTTTCTTCGGATCTTCAAGAGATGGCGCTCGAGTTCTAATTCCCAATATATATTTTTTTATTTTAATGTACGATTATTATTATAGATGACGCTATCATGTCGATAACAAGAAAGATTTTTAGCAGAAACATATATAAAAAACACGCAAAGATGACTCTAACATTATTTAAAAAATTAATATATATATATATATATTAGATATATAATATCACTATAAATTAATTTGATTGCATTTTAGATCGATTTAATGCTAACAATAACATTATGAATGAGGACGTATTTAAAAAAACCAATAGTTCCCGAAATCTAACTAGATGTCGCTACGGTACTTTCTTGATTTCACCATGACAACCCTTCTGGTTTTCTTTCATGTATAAAAGTAAATTAATTTTCAAAATTCAATTAACAACTCATATTGTATTTGTACTTTTTCGTATTTGTATTGATATCTAAGTTTCGAACTTTGCAAATTTCAGTTTTTTAATGTTAGTTAATAGGAACGAAAATGACTATATTTGGTCCATTAGTTTCCTGCAACAATCAACTTTTGCTAGAGTCGCCATCTAGTGAGGTGCTTTTTAGAGCTTTCTTTTTTTTAATACTTCCTTATTAACTGTTTACCTTGTAACATAATTTTATTATTCACTTTTCGTAATTTGAAATTTAGAAAAATCCATAATGCCCTTTATGAATGTCTTTTCCTGAAAATTCGTCGAGTTAGAAACATTATACATATGCAATTTCATTAAATAGCAATTTATTGTAAATCTTTATCTTTTAATTATTGCCTGTTTCCTTTATACTCACGAGTTTATATTAATTCTAATAATTGTTCTCTGACATTAAATTAAAACTACTTATCTAAACTATTTCTTAAAATAATAACTAAACTAAATTAAAAATGTCTCCCAGATCATTGCCTACATGTAAGGTACCCAGAAGGCTGCGAGCGTTACCTCTTTGAATAGCTAAACTAATTCTTTGGGCGAGGTACAAACCGGCCTTCTGATCACCTGACCTGTCAAAAAGTTTCTTTTTTAACTCTTGATAAAGACGATGGGCTGCAGGGCCCCACGGACCCATCGTTTCGACCCCAAACGGCTCAAATGTGTAGGTATTACTTATACCTGAATATTTTCGCCGTTTGAGGTTTTCTGCAGCAGCGGCGGCTATACCCGCCTCAAGACATGTTCGTGGAAGATGAGTTGGCGCCAAAGTATCAACGCAGGTGGCATCCCATACTAGGGGTCGACCCATCCTCCAAGGTACCTAAGACATCCCATCAGGTCTCTTACCGTCGTCGCGAGTCAGCCCGTTCGGTTCTAGAATGGCTGGCACTGACGCCGTAGCAAGAGCTCGACGGATGATATCATTGATACTTGCATGAATAAAGTAAATAATAAATATAATAAAGTATAATCACCAGCCCTTTTACGTCCCCACTGCAGGGGCTCAGGCCTTCCTTATGGATGGTTAAGGAGGATGGGCCATGACCCTCCACGCTGGCCCAATGCGGATTGGAGGGTATTAACGACTGCAAATGCAGCCGGGACCAACAGCTTAACGTGCCTTCCTTAAGCACGGAGTAGCTCGAGATAATAATTTTTTGTTCACCCATCCCGTGACCGACCCTTGCGAAAGTTGCTTAACGACAACGATCACGGGCCGTGGCGCTTATCCACTACGCCACCGAGCTACTTAAGTAATATAATAAATCTAATATAATAAAGTTAAATAACTCATCAAAGCCGTAGAAAAGGGATTTTTTTGTTACCCTTAATTATATAAAGTACTAAAGCTTAGTCAGCCTTTTATTCGTTTGCCTAAGCATCGAACCGGTCACAAAGTATATTAGCATGTCAATAAACTATTCTCAGTATAGTATCAGTAGAATAAAAACTTAGGTGTAAACTATTGTAAAAGATATGTAATGACGCAAAAAATACTGTGCGCTATGGACAAAACTTACGGATTTTTATAGGGTCATCTAAACAATAACATTGTATATAATTGTTACAATATGGGGTGAAAATAATTATAAATGACATCCCCTACGACCCCTTAAAAGGATCCGTTCTAATTACCCATAACCCTGTATATGTTATTATCCTACTTTAATTAATTTATGTAAAATTAATTAATTTTATCTTTTATATATTACCTCAGATCTGGGTTTTGTGGTACCATTGTAAGATGTATGTGATACCGTCTTATATTTATTTCGTGTGATAAAATTAGAAATAGGTAAATAGGGAACTGTAAAAAATTAATTTTAGAAATATAATTTATTTCTGTTATCATTAGTAAGTAATTTCTTCTTCAAAATCAATTGAAATTAGTTAAAAGGCAAATTTAAAAGCTATAAACTTTGTCTATTGATAAATCCTCCAGAGAGACGTGGACTTGTCTATTGTGTCTTCACAATGAAGCCTTTACTATAATAAACAGTCTAACTACACCATCAAAGATGACAGCGGAAGTAGCAATGAAAAAGTTTGTTTGGTACCATGTTCCTCTACCAGCTAAGTCATTATAAAGCTATTAAAAAAAAATATAGTTTTATAAAATAATAAAAAATTAAAAAAATGTATTAAATGCTGGTCATGTGCGAGTCGTACTCGTGCACGAAGGGTCTGTACCAGAAACGAGCAAAATATCAAGTTTGTTGTATAGCAGCCCACTTATATATTTATTCTAATGTGTTTTTAGTATTTCATGTTATAACGGCAACAAGAAACACATCATCTGTGAAAATCTCAACTGTGTAACTATAACGGCTCACGAGATACAGCCTGGTGACAGACGGACAGACAGTGGAGTACTTTGGCTACTTAATTTAGGATTAAGAAATGTATTTGTCGCTTTGGAGATCTTTGGAGGAGGCCTATGCCCAGTGGGCGTCTCTCGGCTGAATTGATGAACTCGAACGAAATTAACATGACTCCTGAGGGATCATTATTTTGTATTTATCCTCGAATTAAAATTTTGAATCGTTCTTATAATTTTCTTATAAATCATAGCTGTGATAATTGTCTATGCTTTAAAGGCTGCGACAGGTTTTACCTCCATTGCATCATAAGTTATCGAAAACAATGTGTTTCTTTGGAGTCATGGTGGTTTTTCGAAAATATACGAAATTTTATTTAGGAGATATAGAACACCAGTACTAAGTATGTGACGATATTTATAAATTTTGTTTTTTTTTGTAATACGTTCTTTAAACGTGGTCGCAATGTTGTAGCATCGCTTAGCTTCCACTACAATCAGTTCATTACACACACAAAAGTACAAATATACTTAACCAATACATGTCAATTCAAACATGAAACAAATTGTTGTTTCCTCTGTTTTCCCCACAGACCATTTAGAAAGGCTGTTCCATAGAATTTAACTGAAAGCAATAATACTTCAAAAATCCTCCTTTTAGTACCAAGCGTGTTACTTATGTTAGAGGTGGTGTATTTCTTTCGTTTTTTTTATTATCAGCTAAAAAAAATGCAAATCTGCTAATGTGCATTGTACCATTGTACTATCTACCTGAAGTATAATATTATTAGGGCAATATAGTAACAAGAGCTGTGTCATAGGTTGTAGTTGAAGCCATACTTTCTATAACTACGCTGTGATGAGAACTCGTTGATTTCCGGGTGGGACCTGGAGTCCTGAATTACAGGGTTGCCCTAAATAACTAATCACAAATTGTTTGCCTATCAATTAATGATTGTGTGATAAATAAACTGATTTTTAATATTATAACTGCGCTGACATTA